AACTGGTGGCATGATACGAGTAGTTTAATAATATATTTAAGATTAAAAAAAATAAATATATAAAGTCTACTGTGAAGTACCTGTGCAGAGAACGCAATAGAGAAAATTCAACAACGAGCATGGGTTTAACTCAAGGTTTGAGAACATAAAATCCTCCCGAAAACAATAAAAAACTTTAGGAGGGAGGGGGGGACTTGCGAATGCTTTTCTTAATTACTGACTTTCATCTTTTCGCATACGGTCACGGGGATATTATTATAAACACCACTCTTATGGTTATTTGTAAGTTTATAACCAGACTGATAGAATGATACTCTTTTTAGAGTACTTTCCAAAACGTATAAAGCAGCCTTAATTACGACTTATACGCTAAGATTTTATAATAATGGCTCCCTGTTTTGAAAAAACAGATGCAGTTTTCAAAATGATAAATTCACCCAGGGGCGCAGTCTTCTTGGAAGAATTCATAGTACCACGATGGAGATTCCTTTATTCTTTTTCTTCCTATAGGTTTTGCTGGCAAGTTCATATTTATCAGAATTTTGTTTTTTAGGGAATTTATACCCGTAACCACCAAACCAGAAAAATGAGAGTTGTGGCACCGACGGGAACCGTATCCGCAACCTTGAATTCTTTGACAATGCTCTAAACACTGAGCTACGGTGACAACTCATATTCTCGGTCGATAAATTACATATACATTTTGTTAATGTTGTAGACTTATAGCTCTATCATTGTTAATTTTTTACGAAAATACCTTACAATATTTGCTTTTTCTTTAAGTGTAGGTTTTAAGGATTAAATGCTCCTCAATTTAGACTGAGAAATATAGATTATTTTATTTTAACTTGATTAAGTGCAAGAGAACTTTAGGAATTTGTCTTACTTTACGTAAATTAATTTTGTTTTTATTAGCAAAACCACGCCAGCGTCTTTTAGGAGGGTAATAATAGGTGAATTGCTAAGTCCTAGAACATACCTCTACTTTAGTAAATAAAATTCCACTTGTATTAAACTTAATATTTGCATTATTCATAATATAAATCATCTTTAGGTCATTGAATTCGGGACAAATAGACCTAGGTTTAAAGGCTTTAGAACTCGAACGGGTAAATAAGCTTTCGTAGGTTTAAAAAAAGTAAAAATATGCTTAATTTTTAAACATGACACCTTAACAAAAGTTTTTCTGCCTCCAATGTGGGCCTCCAATTTTTGGTAGGATCTCCAATAGCAACCCAGTATTATAAATTCATAAAATTTACGATACTCGCTATATACAGGTGCAAATAACTTTCATAAAAAATATGAAGCAAAGAAAATTCACACGAATAATAAGCAAATGTAAATAACAAAGCACATGCAAACACACTGCTTTTTACAAGTAAGGGAAAACCTTGTAAATAAAAATAGATCCGCGTTTTACTTAAAAAAAAAGATAGTACTTGAAGCTTTGATGCGGTTGAACCGGACTCAAATGCTAAAGATAAATAATACTTGGCTGTAAATAAAATTTGGGTTGCTCTCTAATCAGATTGGGTGTCCGTAATAATGATAAAGCATGTGTTAGATTTCCCACCACGCCAAAAAAATGGACGCCCGCTTTAAGAGGTCGGAAAGTCAGTTATTATAATATCAAACACAGACAGCATGAAACAGTCAATTGGTGGCATTTTCTTAGCTTCCAGTTTTGGTAAAAAAACAATATTTTCTGTTGTAACTTTTTTATAATCCAAGCCTGGATACAAAATGTTGAGACATGTTTTAGTGGTCTTATTACCGTTTACAGGCTAAAATTTCTTATACACCCATAACCTGTCAGCTACGCTTCCATTTTTAAAAGTAAAAACTAAAATAATTAAATATTTAAATTAAATAAATTTGTTTGATTCATGCGACAGATTATTACGGAGAAAGAAAAAAATTGTCTTTAGCAACGCCTGCTTAAGCATGTTAAGTTTATATTATTAGCTAAATATTCTATAGAAGAACTTATATGTTTTTTTATTAGTTTTAATTATTAATTTGTTCATTACTTATTTGCTTTCTATGTTAATCCTTCCGTATAGTTTAGTACGGATAACAAGGATAATAATACATATGAATATGTTGGTTTAAATCACCACCAGAACGTTCATCTAATCTTTACGCACTCTAGAAACACTCAGTAATTTATAAAAGAAAAAGGCCGGTAAGCTTAATTGACGCTTACACCATAGTTAATGTGGTATTTTTCATTAATTAGCCTTTTAGATGAAGACTTTCACAACTTAAACCAAAGCGACCGTAAACTCGAAGATGAGGAAGTTTATAGCCTACTAAAATATATATCTAGCATTTGTTGTGCAGGTTTCCCGTACTACTAATAAAAATTATTTAATCAGTTTAATCTATAAGGTGAAAATTAAGATATGCCACACTAAATTTATTAATGGTATAGTAGCGGTATTAACAAATATTATTCGGTGCGAGAGGTAAATAGTGAAGACGATCACATATTTTAACTTTTCATTATTGTGAAATGCGTATAACATTCTTAGGCCAAATAGAACGTCCTAATTAACTTGGGCGTCCCTAACCACTAGAGTATATCGTAAATTTCTGGCCCCGGAGGGACCCCCTTGTGTTTCCCTTAGGAAAAGAGAGTTTGCGATCTCTTTCCTGGCTAGCTGGGGCGTTCCATTTTGGCTTATTAGTTGTATAGTTTTTAATACATTGATAAGTTGTGTCCACATACCCCTCTGGTACAAAGTTCTAAATATGTTTTGTTATTAAAATCCTAAATTATTGTTTTTTTAAATTAATTTTATTCGTTAAAATCTAATTTTATTAAAAGTGGATTCTGTTATTTTTGTTACTTGGCCTAATTGAAAAGAAATCACAACAAAGGGGCTAAATTAAGCGTATAGCTGTCATTTTTGCATGCTTGTATTCTTTAGTACGGTAACGCAAAATCTCTTACAAATAATTATATGTATAGCCTTTCACTTAGTTTTTCGTACTAGCCAGCAAAAGGTTTCATCATGATGGTATTATTTGAGTAAATAGTTAACTGAAAAAAATAGAATTTTATTAGAATATAACATCTATCAGCGGTTAACTGCTAAAATACAACTTTTTAAATTAACATTATGTAATATAGTTTATCTTAAGTTTTGTATATACTTTAAATTCTTATTAATTTTTTTTTAATAAACCGGTAATAATTGTTTATAGATATAATATAAAACTTTAGTTCGAAGCCTTACTAGCAAGTACTTACTTTAAGGCAAATTACTTATACAGGGCCGTCCACTATCATAAAAAAATACCTGAATTACGGCATTTTAGGTGGTAGCCTATTACATTTTAGTACTAAATGGGAACTAAGCTTTTAACATAAAATTTAATGGATTAAGCTTCTGTTAGAATTTTTAAAATAAGAAAAATTTGTCATAATAAAGACCATTTAATTTTAAAGAGACGAAATTTAGTTTTATTTTCTATTAGAGGCAAAAGACCCCCCGATACCTAAACGTTAAGAGTCACAGGTATTATTAGTTATGAATTACACAGTTTTAAAAATTGTTCATACGAAAAGAAATCATAAATTCAATAATATAAGATTAAAGTTTCCAATCTTATGAGTAAATCATGGTACAGGCTGCTATTACTAGGTTAACAATCTAAAGTTCACTTTTAAGTTTTTTTAATAAATAATCAATAAGGAATTTAAGAATAAAACTATGTGTAATAATCGCGTTTGTCATAAATGCATTTATTATAAACCAATCAACTATATTTGTTCTTCTACTTCTATCCTTTTCATGCAATTTTAAAGGGCATTCCAAGTTGTTCAATTTGTAGTCTACATGACAGTTTCATCCATAATATCTCATTGGTGCCTAAAAATGCCAAGTTATGATTGTTAAGTAAAAAAAAATTTATCCGAAAGAGAAGTAGAAAAGTCTATTTAGTCCTTCGATCATAAAATTAGTAATTAGTAACTTCCTTTTTTGTTTAATAAACTTCTTTAAGAACCGAAAAATTTTAATGAGTTCATGTTTTTTTTTTAAACTTGTCAACTTCGGGCTTACTTCAACTAAAGCTAAAGGTAGTATACCTACGCTAAATCTTAAAAAAATATAAGTTGCTTAAAAATACTATTTGACCCTTAAATGAATTTTTATTATTTTAAAATAATAATTAAAATGTAATAATTATGCCCTTTGTGCTTCTTTACGCTCAGTTTAATAATTATAGTTAATCCTGCAGTAGTCGCGTAATCTCATGCTGACCTAATTCAAGCAAATAGACCTGCTTTCTTTGCTTGTAAAACAGTAAATATAACTCGCTAGTAGTATTTTCGAAGATAAAATTACGGTAGGGCTTACAGAAAGCGTGGGTCATATAGTATGTTTATCAGTAAATTTACTAAAATATAGGATTTTTAAGTTCAGCTCAATTTTGACACGTAAAAACTATAATTGTTTGAGTTTTTTTTAAAACATTTTCAATTAATTTATCTAACTTAAGTATTAAATTTTTCTCTGACTAATAATTATAACCAGTTCTTTTAAGAATCACAGGCTTAACTTGCAAATAAATGAATTTATGAATGTCACTTCAAGAAAATGTTTAGGTGGATGCGGAAAACGCCCCAACTATAACTATCAAAACGAAAAAAAAGCTTTATACTGTAAAAACTGTAAACTTGAAGGCATGGTGGACGTAGTTAACAAAAAGTGCGTGGGTGGTTGTTTAAAGCAGCCCAACTACAACTATCCGACCGAAAAAAGGGCTTTATGTTGCAACGATTGCAAGTTACCAGGAATGGTAGATGTTGTTAATAAACGGTGCGCTGGTGGTTGTGGAAGATTCTCGGTTTATAACACTCCAGGAGAGAAGAAACCCCTATATTGTAAGCAATGTAAAACTTTTGATATGATCGATGTTAAGAATAAGAGGTGCCTAGGTGGCTGTGGCAAACACCCATCCTGTAATTATCCAGGTAAAAAGAAACGCCTTTTTTGCAATTCTTGCAAACTTGATGGAATGGCAGATGTCATTAGCAGGAAATGCCTATGCGGGAAGAGATCAAGCTATTGTTTTCCTACTGAAACTAAACCTACCCACTGTAAGTCATGCAAAAAAGGGGGCATGAAAAGTATTCGCGCAATTAAAAGAGAATTAAAATCTTTATCGTCAGAAAACATCTGTGGGCAAATTAAATTAAATTGTTTTAGCTCAGATAACAAAAATTATAACTTAAACCCTGATAATAACCTTGTCACTCTTACTTCTTCTACTATAAATTATAATAGTGTTGATAATAATAATAGTAATATTAATACTGAAGAAAACAGTTATTTGTTAAATGATAGGTCGTTCACATCAACTTTGAATTATAATAAGGGAAAGGATTATGAGGGGAGCGCAAAACATATGCGACTACCGTTTAAAAATTTAAGTAATTTAAATAATTTGAACAAAAGTTATACTTTAATAAAAAGAAACAGTAAAGGGAAATATCGCGCGTATTCTGAAGAGAACAAAAAACCCTCAACGTCAAGTAAGAAAAAATTTAAAATATGGAGGCCATTTTAGCTTCTCTAAAAATTTAATTAAACATACATTAATTACTACTAACCCTTCATCTACTATTAGTTCTTATAACATATTTGCAACATTTTATGAAAAAAAGTATGTTGTAAGTAGCATGAAGATTTCCAAATAAAAACTTGAGCTTTAATCTTAAGACAGTTATATATGCTACTAATATAGTAATATGTGTAGCTCTAAATAGAAAAATTCGCCGTGTTGATCATAGATGTTAAGAAAAAAGGCTTCACCACCAATTAGAATTCCTAAACCATAACCCTAGTGATGAGCAGAATGGATAAAATTTTGGTTAATCAGTTTTATCGTTACTATCATGGTGGTACTATCTAATCGGAGTAAAATATGTTTAATCTACGTAATAGAGCTTTAATTTAAAATAAAAAAAACATGTGTTAACGGTTAGCAGCAAGAGAAATTTAAAACAGATTAGAATTGGTTAATCTACTACTATCTATTTATAAATTATTTTAAAATTTAAAGAGTTCATACGCTCTCTTCTCTAAATTTAATTTGACATCTGTTGAGAAACCACATAGTGAACTTTGGAAATCTTTATGACATAACTGTTAGTCCCTCTCCTGTAAACTTTAAATTTTAAAAATTATAGTAATAACTTATAATACATTGAATAACAGCCCATTCAAAACTTTAAATATTTTTAGACATTTCATGATGCTTACTTTTTAGTTCTTTAATATACTTTCAAGTACTTTAGTTGCAAATTACCATTTTAAATACTCGTTTTAAATAATTTAAAAAAAAAATAACCAAAATATATTTTTTTAAAAATTTTTTCTTAAGAAACAGGCCGTAATTGTCTAGCAGCTACTCTTTACTTATAAAGCCCTATTTAATTAAAGTAGCTGATGTTGTAAAAGTATTAAATTTTAACTGACGAACTTCGTAACTAAAACGTTGTAACTTTTAAGGAAACAATGCGAAGCGGGGGATGCACGATATGAGCGGAAGGAAATACACTAAGAAATCAGTGGGGAAGTATACTAGAGTCAACAGGATCTTACAGTGAAACCATACATGAGAATGTAAGCATACTCTTTATAATTGCAATCAAATATTATTTTAAAGTAAAGATAGTAGTCCCCGAGTAAAGCGTTATATTTTAAAGGAGAAACTATCTTTGAGACAGGTTTGGTTTGTTTAACATAAAGAGTTGGGAAACAGGCTCTATTTGCTTTAGCATATATCATCGTATGGGCTTCTATCCTCATAAAATTAAATATCGCGTTTAACATATGTGGCCTTTATGAACGATCAGACTTACAGCTTTTACAAATAGAAGTTTTCACGACACTTATACTAAAAGATCTCTTTTAAGCGGATAATAAAAGTTTTTTAGGCTATTTCAACAAACTTTTACTATCAATAGAGATGCATATTGGGTCATGAAGAAATGTTTTATATTTTTAAATAACTTATTTTCTGTAATGTCTTAAGCAACTAGAGGCCAGTTACCTCACTCGAAATTGCTTCATTGTCAGTGTAACGAAATTGAAAAAGATAACTTTCCGGGAAGGACTTAAGGGCAACATTATCACGAATTTAATCAGCATTTCTTATTTTCATTATTTGTAACCCAGCCGCATTACTGAAATAAACATTACCTATCTCCTTAACTATGACGAAGAGACACACAGGTTTTTCTAAAAGTTCTTTGAAATAAATCTTCTCTACATTATTTAAAGAAAAAAGCCTTCTAGTCAGCGTATAGTTATTAGTTATCTTTGCAGAAGATATGAGAAGAACGATTCGTTAGTAAGGAGAACAACTCATTTAATAAAGTACTTATACAAAAAATTTGGTGAGCATAAAAGTTTTCTTGCCAATAAGTTCTTTGTTTTCATAATAAGCATATTCCTTACAACGTTTTTCATGCGAAAAACTTTTTGACATAAATTCTTCTCAAGGTAATTTTTTTTCTCTTCGTAAACATGGATAGACACAATTTAATTAGCAAGCGCCTACCATTGATTTTACTAACTGGAAAATATTGGAGCTATATCCATTATTAACTCTATTTATCAAAATTTTTCATATCACTTGAGGTAAAGCGAAAGCAGCTAAGCTAATATCACCTAAACTAAGAAAATCTTTAAACAGTTTTACTGTTTTACATTTATTGTTAAAATAAGATCTTCTCAAAGTACGCAGTAGACAGCCAATCGTAGTAGAGATTAGAACTTCCTATGCATTTTTTTGTATAACTTTAGATTATTATCAAGACTACTGAGATAATCTAAAGTCTCTTGGATAAATATTATAAAGTTCTTTCGACTTTCTGTAGAGATAGTTACACGCATTTAAGAAAATGAAGCTGTTTATTAAATGCTCCATTTATAGAACGCTGTTAAACGTTTAGCCTACGACACGAAGATAGTGAATTAGCAAGTAATTTGTTTCAATATTGTTTTGATGATTATTAATTTGAAAGTTTGATTAATATTTCCAAAAGACATTTTACTAGACTAGGTGTTTCTTCTGATCTAACAGAATCCCTTGGGCGAGATTTTAACACCTTTAGAAGGGTGATAACAAATTATGAGGTAAAAAGTTTTGCACATTAAACTGTTTTGTGCAAGTAAAAACAATATGTTTAAGTTCTCCGCGAAACTCCGCGTTTTTTCGTGTTTTTTTTGCCTAAATCCTTTGGCATGAATTGCTTTGTAATAAAATTAGAGCAAAGATTACAGTTATTTATATATCTGTATAGCAGGACCATTGTATAGAACCCCATTGTATATAAAATTTTGGTGGAAAATTTTGCAAAATTTATGTTTATCAAATAAGGTCCCTCCGTTTAAGAAGGCTATACTATTTTTTATTATAAAAACTAATTATTAGTTTTTTACATCCATGTCGAGGCCAATTACAGCGTAGATTTTAAGAACTCCTTTTAAGTAAAACATATTTTTTATTTAGTTACGTTTTTCGTCCAAGCAAATAAAGTTGTGTTTTCGCTTGTGGTAAGTTATTTAAAAAATTTGCTTTAAACTGTTTAAATATGTACTAGTCCGCGTTTTACTATTATAAGCCCGCAGGACTGGAGCACGTAAAGACATTCATGCTTAAGCTGAGAGAGCACTATATATTAAGAGTATCTTCTATTAGAATAACATTTAATTGTAAAATTTTTGATAGTATGTATATATATATATTGATTAAATAAAAGGTTCCTTTCAGTCAAGCTTCCTTACTCCTTTTTGTGTGTGGTATCACACCATAGAATTGGTTAAGAATAGCAGGCTTATGCCAAAGCAGCTGGACGGCCCCCGACTAAGACGACTACACCTTAGTGTAATGGTTTATACATTAAAAAAAATTGTTAGCAGAGAAGGCGATTGAAGTCAGAGAGGTTAGTTAAGATAACTTTGCAGGTTAACTAATTTTATGTACAGCGCTTGAGTCCAGGCTTTTATCGAGTTAATAATTAAATTTTACTGTAATATAAGATTATAAAATATGTTTCATTACTATTTTTCCCGGAGGGGCTCCTTTATTCACTAATTGTGCACTGCAAATTAATCATGCATTTTTAAACAGAAAAATAATTATATAACTTTATCAAGTAAGCTGTTTAAGTGCTTTTGAGGTAAACTGTAAGCAGGATCTAGCATCATAACCATTTAATCCTAGAGCAGTTTTTATTCTGTCGTACCGTGTTCAAAATATTTATAATTGAAAATTTTCGGGCACCTATCTATTTAATTTTTCTATAAAATTGAAGAGGGAGTAGCTGCTAACAGAATTGGTTGAGCTTCTTTCCTTGGTAACTTTTTAAATTAGGGGTCCATGCTACTAAAAAGGAAGGTGGATGCCTTCGCGTCAAATGTAATTTTAAATCACTAAATATTTCTTGTTATTACACTTAAAAAAACTATATAGCGCATTTTAAGATTATCCTAAGTTATAACACCTAGATGAATATATTACGCTATATAAAAAATTCATATATTTACAGATTTTTACGTACGATTTGAGCAGTCTTAGAACAGTATGTTGCTCCCCGCTTTAATTATTTAGTATTATAAAATGTTGCTCTCAAAGGTGTAAAATTTACAGTTTATGACTAAATCTTTTTATTCCCATTCGTTTGCCTTTATTTTTTCTTCTCTTTGCAGGAATTTTTACAAATATTCTTAATAAAATTTTTTTTAAAGTAGCTAAGCAAATGACAACGACAAAAGTTATTAATACAAAATTATGCCACGTCGCGCAACTTTAAATAAAATTACTCCAGAGTTAATGAGGAGAGGAAACTAAATATAAATGACAGGAGACAATAAAATGTTCGCAGAACGGAGCCTCTAAGCAATAGAAATCAAAGAGGTTTAGTTAACATATAACAGTGGTTAGTAGAAAAATAAACTGAGACTAAAGACAGTACTTAAAAATGAGTATTGAAGTATAATATAATTTAACTTAATCTAATACAATTAGAAACAGAACTTGGACAAGCCCTTATCATTCAATTCTTAAGATAAGCAAATATATAATTAGGTTATCAATGTACTGTCTAGAGTCACATTGAGTCCTTTGCTGAATCCAATTTACATTTATAGGTCTTTAAAAAAACAGTAAGACCCTGAGTCGTTGATTATCGAGGGCTTTAAAAGAGTCCCAATTTTAAATCCTGCTTCTTCCGGCGTCCAATTACAGGCCTTGGCGATTTAAAAGCTTCGTTGTTAGCCAAGTGCGTCTATTAATCAAGCATAAATAGAGGCAAAACACCTCGTAGAAGGGCTCGTTGTTACCTGCGTGAAACTTAGACGCAGAAAAAATTATAATAGTAGGAAGGTCGTGCACGTTTGTGTTTTCGTGTTCCGCCTTAATTTAAAGTAAAGCTAAGGTAAACACAGCCTGCCTTGTATTTACTTAAAAACTTGTTTTTGAGAAGGGACTATGTACAAAAGTTTATATATAACCTAATCACATTGTTTTTGTTGTTGCTAACCCTTTTAACGTGACTATATTATTTATATAAACGTAAATAGGAAGAGACACTTTTTTATGTAGTTGTAACAGCTTTTTTTTAGTAACACTCTAGAGAAGACCTCTACTTGTAATATGATTATTAGAAGGTCCTACAGACACCATAGATATACCACTACGTCATAACTTGTTTATAGATACTGCAATTCGTTATCATATTCTGCAAAAGAGGGTAAAATAAAACCATGATAAACTGTCTTCACAGTCACAGCGGAATTAGAGCTAGAAATGATGGCTAGAAGTGAACCGCAGGACGTATCTGTAGCGGCAGATAGCGGGTTGCCATTTGGCACTTTGTCAGAAGAATAAAAAACTGCAGTCTCAAACCAAATCCCCACTTAATTAAGGTGAGGTAGAGGCTGGAAGCGACTGAGATAAGGCGGTGTTTTTTGTTACCAACCTTCTCACTGCCCAGTGCGCACATTTAACTTTAGCTGCTTTTAGGGACGAATTCCAAAGACCGCGTGGCCCTTTAGTCATTAGCAACGAACTTATAAATCGAGAATAGATGATGAAATCGCTGTTACAATCTTTGCAATATCGCAATGGAAAATATTAATTTAAATGGGATCACTAACGAGATGCTAAAATGTTGTTGCAGCTGGCGAGACCACCTTTCCTGTTTTGAAACTTCTCCTAAGTCGCTTGGCTCCCCCCCTCCAACACGAAGCAAAAACAGTCACTGTTGTAATAATCTCCAGGCCTTCGAGGACTTTAACAGACTCCAATGAATACTGCCCCATTAGCCTACTTCAGCAGTACATAAAAACCGTGAAGGCTGTTTTACTACGCCACTAGAAGAATTTATAGGGACACACGAAACGCCACTCAACAATTACTGCAATCTATTTGGGGGACAACTCGGAACTTCAATTTTTAAGAGACCCACGGACGTCACTTTTCTCGACATTAAACCATTTGACCGCGTATATGGCGCGAGGATCTCTACGCAAATTAACATGCCTTAGTTACTCCGAAGAACTTCTACCACCTACCCGCGGCGTTTCTGTACAGAAGTACCTTTTGAGTAAGAATTAACCCCGCGAGACTCGCATTGTACATGCGGGACATTCCAATATCTGCAAAATCCTCACACCCTACCCACTGCTATGTGCAACATGCACAATATCTCCGTGCAGTAAACTGCGCCCTACTATGGTTATGCAACATACGATTAACTATTGACGACCGCACTATCCTGCAACTGATAACCGGCACACCTTATTATGTGCGCAATGACACCTTGCGGATGACTTCGGTCTGGAACGAATTAAAATTCCACTACAGCTTTTTTAACTTGTTAGTAGGCCTCCTAACTTCCAGCGGACCTAAAAACGTACTAAATGAACTTTTATAGTTTTTTTTTATCTCTTTATTAACGGTATTTAATAGAATGAAACAAAAAATGACAGAATAGGGTCGACTTTGTTTCAAATTTATATTTATTTAAAAATTTCGCCGACTATTCCTATTAATATTTTTACCTGATTCTTCAAAACCAATAAAAATAGGAGCAGGATCACATCTATTATTCCATGCTGCATTATTCAGGCAATAATTCCCCCCCCTCATTATAAAGGAGGAATAAGCTTGCTTTGAACACACTAAATTCCACATGGTAATGGTATTTCTTCCCCCGGGAGAGCGAAGGGAAGGACTATACGGCGATAGAAGGGACAGGCGTAATTATAACCAATTGCTGCTTATTCTACTTCCCCTCTGTTAGATTTCCCACCATGTCAAAAATTGGACTTTAGATATAGGGTTCTAAACCCTCTATTAACGCATGGGGAAGGGGTGCGACCCTAACGATTTCCTGCATCATCCACTAGAAGAGCGGATGCGCATACTCAACACAGATAAATAGTCTTTATCAATAAGGGCATAGTAGCAAAGTAATAATAATATTACATGTAATGAAATAGTTAATTTTAATACAGTTATATTATTATAAAATATATTAATAAGTTAATAAAATAACTATACTCTTTGCCCTATCCCCCCCTCAATTTGATCTAAGATAGGTTTTGGCCACGAGTACTTGGTGTACCAACGAAAAAATCCTTTCCTTGGACTATAAACCTTCTAATTCAAGTTAATTATTTTTATTAAATTAGTTGTTTCAGTTTAAGATAATGTTTTTTTCTGACAGTATAGAATCTTTGCGTGAGAAGAGTTTTCTTTACTTGAGATGTTAACGGTTTTGTACTTCAATAAGTATAATATTTATAAATTTTTAAGTATATAAGGAATTTCTACGTGATTTTTAGACGTGTGTATGAAAGATGATGGGCTTTGTGTGCAATAAAGATATCCCTTGGATCTCAATTCAAACTACTTTTTACAATCTGACCTTTTATAAGATTACCTGCTGGTGGGCGCTTGTGTTGATAAGAATATTTAGTATAAAATTTACTTTATTTAATTAATAATTTTGATGTAATTTTAATTTTTAATTTCTCAGGATTCCAGATTAAACCTTTTTAAAATACTAAATACTGGAGCGTTCAAATTCAAGATTATCTTTTATATAAAATAAAAGATATCTATTGAAATTACTTTAAAAATCTATTAAACTTTAAAAAAATGTTAAGAAGCTGCCCTTCGCTATTAAGAACTTGCTCAAGTGTAGCAGTTGTTACGGCTCCATCGTCACAAAGAAACCACTTTATGATTATTATTATTATTATTATTTTATAATTATAATTATAATAGTAAAACCTGATTGTTATGTTTAACGTAGCTGACGTAGTGACCTTATTTATAATTGTTTTAAAAAACATAATTGTAAAAAAAGGTAATACCCACCAGAATGCAGCGAGCCGTGGTGATTAACAACAGAGAAAAGAGTATACTGGCTTTTCATAGACTCCAGAAGACTAATTTCTTCTTCTTTTTCAAGCTCTGAAACGTTTTTACCTTTTTTACTATTAAAAAAATAATTATATTTAAGAAAAAAATTATAATAAAAATAAAAATAACCATTCGCGTTTTCGAACAATAGCGGAAGAAAGAAAAGGAGCAATACTTAAATGAGAAGTGAATTCAATGCAAGATCTTAACTTGCTTGACTGGGCGTAATGCTCAAACCTCTAAAATAATAATAATAATAATAATAATAACAATAATAATAATATAATACTTTCAAATGGAAGCATAAAACAATGGGAGAATGTTTAATAGACAATTGCTTGGTTTTCTCCTGCTTATAATAAAAAAATAAACTTAAAAAAAATATATAATTTATAATTAAATAAGTAAATAAAAAAATTTTAACGACTGATAAAATATTTTTAAATAATAAAAATATTTAGTAAAGCTTTAGTATAAAAATTATAAAGTTGTTACAATATTCTACTGAAATATATATATAGAAAAACTTAATAAGAATTTTAAATATCTTAAAAACTTATTTATAATAAATAAAAAAGTAAAAATATATATAACGTATACATATATAAATTTAAAAAGTAATTCATCAGTTAGTCTAAAATATTTTACATTAAAATGTTATACTAACAAAACAAGTATATTTTAATATTGCATATAAAGTAAATAAAAAATAATATAAAAAAATAAAAATGGATAAAAATATAAAAGAGAAACTTCTTTACTGTTACAATTACTGCAAAAAATTTTCTGATCACTTCCCAAACTTTCTAAATAATAATAAATAGAGTATATTTTACCTTAGTATTATATAATATATAGTTTATAATATGTATAAATATCAAAAAATGTCTATCAAAAAAATAATCAAAGAATAGAAAAAAATAAAATTTTTTTTAAAAATTTTTTATAGTAAAGGTAAATCTTCTTTTTATATAAGCGTAATAAATATAAAAAGGACCGGGTTGAGTAAAACGGCGAAGACAATCATATAAAGTATGAGACTTTTTATTGGTGGTGCTCCCGGGCGTTTCTGCTATATAAACCAATAATAATAAGTTTTGCATACCTAAGATTTACAAAGTTTACTTATAAAACTTTTAAAAAAAGTGTGAGAGTACTATTAGTTTTTTTAAAAAGTTTTATTAATACACTTAATACTTTTGAAATATACACACAAAGTTTTGTTGTTTATTCAGTAAATAAAAGTTAACAAAACGAGAAGGGAAAAACCAATGATATTAATAAATTAAAAAAACGGCAACTGTTTAATATATCTCGCGAAAGTTGTATTGACTATAACAAACTTTATATGTAAATTAATAAAACTTTTTTTATCACAACGATTTTGAGTTAAAACTATAAAGTTTTTATATAAAAAAGATAATAAAAAGTCTTTTTTTATTTTAAAAAACTAACCTTTAGCCAAAAAGGAATCATATACAATTATAAACAATAATTAAATAAGTTAAAGAAAGTTTTTTTAAAAAAACTTAAAAAATTACAGTATCGTTGTTATTAACTACTATAAACCAAATTATATTAAATAAAAAATATAATTATAAACATTAAAGTTTATTTTAAAAAGTATAAATAGATTATACTTTATATATATATTTAAAAAAAATTTAATAACGTATAATAATAAAAAAAGAATAATAAAAATAAAACAGAATTATAAAAAAAAAATTTATATAAATATAATTGATAACTATTATAACATGTACTAAAATGAAATTGCGGCATGAATATATAAAAAAAGCAATTATGCAACAAATACACGAGTAGCCGTGAAGGTCCAATGAGACATCCCAAAATGGATCGACCGTGGTGGACACGTGGCCGCATCTCATGCAGCTCACGTCAGACCGCAGAGCGCCCGTAAAGATCTGATGGATGATGCACTGGCATTTCTTGGGCTTTCCTGTTAGCAAAAATATATAGTTATACTAATTTTTAAAAAAACATACATTAGTACTATTAAGAAGTTATACACAGAATTATTATTGATAAAAAAGTTACTTTGTTTCGACAAATAACTAGTAATAGCTTAATAACTTTGCACAATTAATAACACATGGAAAGTAGGAAAAAATAAACTAATTAGTACGCACAGTCATGCAAAATAAAAAAAATTGATTAGTGTAAAATTAGCCGTCGTGATGGGATCGGTATAACAATTACAAGTGTTTATATTATTATTTTTACTTTTATTATTATTATTATTATTATAATTAATACCTTGACAGCTCAAATGCATGCCGTATAAAGCGGCAATAAAAAATTCATGAGCGTCTTGCTGTTCATAACCTGAAAGGTGGTGAGCATGTGTCCAGACAGAATGGAGGAATTTATGAGGTGAGTAAGGATGAATACTTCCGCTGAAAAACTGCAAAGCTCACATAAAAATAGTATGAACTCATAAGCAAATTTTTTTAAAAAATATTAGATGGAAGCTCTGCTTGCCTCTCTAAACAAGAAGTTTAACTCGCAAGCCAAACAGACTGATTTCTTTTTAGCCGAACGCAAAACGCATAACTCTTCTATAAAAATATAAAGTTTAAAAGTTTTACTCAATTTTAGATTTAAAGTAAAATTAGCAAGTATAATTTTCCCCGACTTAACTAAATCTTAATTAAAAAAATTCAAAAATAAAATACTTTTTTTTCATTATTTATATGCAAAACCTGTATGTTTGCCAGATAAAAAAAAGTTTCTTAATAGAGGATTGTGAATAAAAGACTGAAGAATACAACTCATGAAACACGTGTTTCCTAAATTGTTCAAACCACGAAGGCCTGCTCTTAATAATAGAATACTTTAAATAAATAGATAAAAGAAATAACACGAACAAGTTTTATACAACCTTCGCACTAATAAAAATACAAAAAAGTAACGAAAGTTTTCTAATCACGATCTTCTCTAATTTTTAAAAACAAATTTAGTAAAGTGCGTTGAAGTTGGGTCGCACTTGCAAAAGTCGTTTAGCTGCAACTTTCTCTTTTTTTTTCTATTTTTCTTAGTATGGACAGTTGGTTCTTTTTATTAATTATTCTTAACCTTGTATACTTTATAAAATCAAGTTTGTTATTTTTAAAAAATCGCATTTTAACAAAATCAGAATTTAAAGGTATATAATAATAACAAAACTTTATTAAATTCTCGTACAGAAAAACACGTTTACTTATATCGTTTAACATAATTCTCATTTCACTGCAAAATTATAGTAAGATCTACAAAACCCATGGAATTTATAATTAAGGACTAGCTTGCACAAAAAAGTTTTTTTAAAAGTGCGGTGATATTAATGTTACTGCTTTCTCTTTAAATTTCTCTGTCAAGTTAAAATAAAAAACTATTAAATTAGAGTAGAAACGAATTAGATGAAATCTAAATTCAAACAAGGCGAACTAAAGACTAAAAATATAAAAATTCTTTTATATATATAAAACAATCAAACATTTTTGCGTCAATCATTTCATATTTCGGTTCTACTTATGATGAAGTAAAAAAAAGAAAAATTACCTTCACCACCGTTTCTCGTAGAAAAGCGCCTCAGAATCTGATTTTCTTTTTCAGAAGGCTTCCAAGAGGTAAATAGAATTCTGCGGGGATTATAGTCTAATAAAAATTAAAGTTTTTACGAAGTTAATTGTGGATTTAACGTACTGCTAAAAATGCAGTTACTGAGTAAGAAAATTAAGTAAACGCCTTTGTAGTTTTATAAAAAATTGTTAGCCTACTTAAGAAGTTCTTTAGAAAGTTATAATATTATAAAATTATCAGTATCTTAAAAAAAACTTATTTTTTAAAACCATAAGACTGAAGTGCAGATAGTCGCGCCTTATTGCTTTGAATCTCTTTAAATCGATCCAAAACAGAATCATAAATGTATTCTTCACATAGAAAACAATAAATTTGTTTGCAATGGAAATCCGCAGCTTTTAAATAAACAAACAAAAATTTAGAATTTAAAAATGTTTAGTAGAGGTCTTGAAAAAAAGTTAAATATTATCAGTATCGAAATAAAGTTGGACCAAAAATGTGATTAGAATTCTTGTAATGGTCTAAAGCATGCCCTTTAGACCAGCAAGAAAAAGTTGCACAGCCTATACAAGCATGTAGCCTTCCGCTAACAAGCCCGCAATTATGACAGGCACAAAGTAGTTTCTGTATATATTTTAATCAAAATAAGTTCTTTTGTTGATACATTAGAAGCAGAGCCAAAAACGAACAGGTAAAAGTATGGAATTAATATAACGAGCAATTGTATACGCTATAAACCGAACTTTTTCATTCTTCTTTCGAAGCCTACTAAACTTATAAAGAAAACTAAAAACGATTTCAAACTGCTTGAGATATAGTTCACTTCGAATGATCTCTTTGTGCTTGCAAGTGCAATAGTCTAATTCGTGCGATGACGACATTGGCAAACGCTTTTAAATTCAAGGTATCGACTGCCGGCGCATAAAAATTTTGAAAAGTTGAAATAATTTATCATATTAACATTGTTACCATACTACTACTATACTACTACCCCTGCTCTAGAAATTACGCTAACGCCCCTTTACTAAATTACTAAATATACACTATGCAAGAGCAGTTGCTTGTTTGCGATCCCTCCCCTCCAGTAGCTTGCCTTGGTTAAGGATGTGCGCTAGTATTCCACTCCGACTTCATCGTATACATATGCGCTCCAAAATAACGGCTCCATAAATAGTAATGAAAATTAAAATTATATTTATATACGATTAAGTTTTAATAAACCAGTTTATGGGTTAAGGAGGTTAAATTAAATAAATAAGACATTACTAGCATTCATATTATATATTTTATGTCATTATGCCAAATGCTCTAAATTATAATTACGGCTAAGAGGATAAGTTAGTGATATTACATAGAACATTATTTTAACTAGTCCTTTCCACCCTAAAATAAGAAATTATACACGATGATTTTTCTTTTTTAAATATACGATTTATTACATTTGTAAGAACTCGATACTTCAAATGATTTTCCGGGACTCCAGCTTGGGCGTGGTGAGGGTCCTAACAATATTGAAGTACTATTGTGATAAATATACATCTTTCATGCTTTGTTTCATGAGACTCGTCTCTCAAAAACACTACCAACGGTTTTCTGTGAAATTTGCATTAATGTTATAACGATGCGGAAAATTATTTAAAATGTTTTTTAAAAAAGAAGTATTAAAAAAAAATTAATTTTAAAATTTTGAGTAGTAGTGCGGTTACTACGAAGACCTCCGAATAATTTCAAAATCAATTTATTATTGGTATATTTAGGTCAAAAAAATCATCCATTGCTCAAAATCTCTCTTTCACTATTCAGATTACTTTTTAACATTGTTGTAAATTGATTATTGCACAATTACTGAATCCAAAGATCAGGTTAAAGTTATTTTAAACCACAAACTGTAAAGAAATTTCATATACCTAAACAAAACAAATATAAAACACTATTATAAAAAATATACTCAAAAATGCTTAAATATGTAAAACAGTACAGTAAAAGGGGTTTTATTATAATTTATACTAACTAAAATAGACTATAAAAAAAAGATTAATATTACAAAGAATAAAATTTACTTGAATTTATAACAATATACCTAAAATCATAACACTAGTTTCAATAAATAAGACTAACTAATTAACGTAGATTGAGGCAAATCAACTTATAAAATATATCTGATAACGATAATTACGTACATACACGTTTACAAACAACTCATACATAAAAAATAAAAAAGTTTTAATGGTCTTTATATAATTTAACAATATAATTTTGGTTAATATAACTTTTTTGGGTAAAAATAATAATAAAATAAAATCAAGATTGGCCTTTATTTACACGTTTAAATAAAAACATATCGTTTAAGTAACTAGGTTAATGATTATTACCTGTTAATGTTATTTTTTGCAAAAAAAAAAAAAAGTTGGATAGAACTGTGATTCTCGTTAAACTGCAAAGTTAGTTGACGATGAATATCATAAATCCACTTATAAGTTTAACCTCAAAAAAACCATTTTTTCACTAAACAAATTTTGAAGCACACCTAAAGCGTTCAACAAAACAAAATTCATTAGCTTATTTTCTTAGTTATCTATAAAGCTTTAAGGTATAAAAAAAACGGTTTTACATACATTATGGTCAAGTATTCACTTTTCCTATTTATAATTATTGAATAATTCTTGTATATAACCCCTTATGGATCGCGTAGGTACAAGGCTATCACTTTTTAAATTACTAGATGCTGGGGTGCTCCTGGAGAGTGCCATCCCTTATATTTTATTCTCTACATACATGTCTACTTACTTCCCCCTACTACCACGAAGACATATTTATAGCAGCTTAAATCACCACCTTAAATTTAAATAAGTTTTTCTAATTAATTTTGTTGAGGACTAGTTAACGAAGTAAAAATTATAATGAAATCTCTTAACTGGAGTTCATTTGAGGAATCGATAAACGGGATAATAAAAGATCACCTCTACCAAACCAAAACATGCTTTACCAAAAAAAAAAGTGAACGGCACTACAGGACTTCCTCCTTTTATTAAATTCCTCTCGCTAGGAGTAACCAAGTTAGATACCTTAATGTTATTTTTGATGATAAACTTAAGGAGAAACCCACATGGGATATATATGGTTAAAAATATTAGAAATACGACACATGTCCTATAGTCACTTAAATGCAAAAATAGGCCTAAATCTTAGAAAATTAATTATTTACAGAGATATTTTAAGACCAGTAATGAGGTAAGCATCAGTAGCTTAGGTCGATTCTTTTAATCCAACATGGTAGACTGCAACTTATTAAAAAAAAATTTTTAAGAAAGTTTACAGAAGTTCATTGCTATGTAAGACTCTCCCTATTTAAATCGTGAATCAAACTGAAACCATTTTCGAAGTTTAGTTAGCGCTTAGAAGAACTGCCTCGAAGCATTTGAAGATTACTGTAAAAGATCATTAGCTAATTCCCTAAATCATAATTGCCCTCTCACTTTCCCAAATATACACTATAGTTCAAAATTGTTTCAATGTTTTATATTTGTTCGTAAAAACTCTATAACGCTTTAACTAATAATTGGTTTTATTAATCCCTTATATATATATATATATATAAGTTTAGATCGAGATCTATTTAATGTAGTTTGTATTAGAGGAATAGCTTCCTTAAGTTTTTATTGCTTGTTAAAGTTTAAGTATCGAATGAAACGATCCTCCATGTGACTCCCCTTCGTGCAAAATAGTTTCAATCTTTATACAAAATTTTCATGATCACTTTGTCGTAGGGAGTTTTTTTTTAAAGCGTTTAAACGACTGTAAAGGGTAGCTTATCTAAAGACCTTAATTTAATAAAGCGGAAAACTTTCAATCGATAAAGAAAATGATGTAAAATGTCTTTTAGATCAAGGCAAGCCATATTCTGAGATCATTCGTGAATGTGGTGTCAACAAGGTCATACTATCCTGGACCAAAGCTCAATAAGATCTAAATCGTCCTTGCAATGAACTTGGGTGTCCAAAGATCTTGAAAACCGGGATATAGCTCGATTTGCAAGACAAGTGACATTAGGTGCAATCTGCATAGAAAGCTTCAAAAAACATAGAAACATTAGATAGACTAGTTTCAAGATCGACCATATCGAGAGTATTGCATTCTGCTGGTCTCCATCCAGAAAAACAAGTTAATTAAATTCGCATTGGCAGATCGTCACGAACGACTAAGATTGAGTTTGCGAACCAGCACGAAAATTGGTCCAATTCTGCCAGGGAAAAAGTAATTTTTTCGACGAGACCAAGATCAATCGATATGGTTCAGATGGTATTAGGTGGTGTCGGAGGCGATCCGCAATAATCGAATACTTGATCACCAAGTACCGCAAACGTATAAGCATGGGGAAAAGCAATTATGATTTGGTCCTGTATAACATCTAAGGCTGTCAGATACTTGGAAAAAGTGACAAGGAGCATCACCGCAAGCACGTATTTAGACATTATTAAGAATGACCTACCCAGAATATGCGGTTGGTGTGGCCTTGATCTTGATGAAATGGTTTTTCAGCAGGATAATGTCCCATGTCACACTGCACTATCGGTGTGGTCATGGCTCCAATTACAGTCGTTCCAAGTGCTAGACTGGTATCCGCAATTACCTGATCTCAATCCCATAGAGCAAGCATGGGGAATTTTGAAGGGAAAACTGGGATCATACGAATCCTCCTGCTAACTCGGACGAGATTTGGAAACGTGTACAATCAGAATGGAAAAATATAACACCGTAGCAATGCTATAATTCTGAATGCCAAAGAAGATATAAGCAGTGATTCTGGCGAAAGCGAGCTATAGTAATTATTAAAACCTCATTTATTTTTTTCTACGTGCAAAATTGTTTCTACAATCTTTCAAATGTACGAGCTCATATCCTTTCAAATATTAAACCCATATCAGATCAAGTATTAATAAAAAGTGACTAGAACATAGAAGATTACTGTGTATAAATTTCAAAGTAATATATTGTTATTGGAACGTTATTCTATATTTAACGAACAAATGAAAACAGTGGAACAACACTTTCTTACTATGTTAGCTAATAACTCAAAATGCAAGATTTTTCTTAAAAAATAGTACAATAAATATGATAACAGTGGTAAACAAATAGTAATTATAATATATTAGCGGTTATTTTAACAATATAGTATTAGTCAAATAAATGAAGCGATATAATATATTGTAAGTAGTTACGACATAACGATAATTGCTATAAATGATAGTGACGTAGTTTTATTAAGAAATTTTTCTTTTAAAATTGTATCCGTAAAGCCAGTGGAGGCTTACATATTTTAAAATTTTTTTAAAAAAATATCCTTATAAGATAATTTTTTATTTTGACGCTTTAACTTTTTGATAGACATGACTTTTAAAGGAGGTATCTTTGCAGGGAGAGAACCTTCCCAGACCCTCCCACTTGGGGAATGTAAATTAAGCAGTTTATTATAATTTACTCATGACGACATGCCAGTGCAATAAATATACAAATAAATAGATACGGAGACTCGTTCATACTTTTTCTTCTCTCTTTCTTTCCTTTCTGGTGATAATCACGTCTTTTTTGATGTCATTTTTACGTTCTAGAAAAAAGCGATTTTATAAAGGTAATATTTTTGGTCTAAAGGGCTATAGCAAAGACTAAAACGTTTAGAGGGCTTCTAGTTGTAGGGATATATAATTTAGTAACCTAGAGGACTACTAAGTCTATACTTAGTTAACTAGTTTTACTAAATATTTTAAACAAATTAGGCAAACTATTTCAACGCATATCATTCTCAGTTAGTATTAACCTTTGAGATTTCGTTTATCATTAATCTAATTAATAAAATTTTAGTAATTTAACTTTTTTTTAATATATATACTGAAAAAATTGAATTTTGTGTTAATTAAGAATTGTTTTTTAAGAAAAAAAATACCGTTTAAGCGTAGCATTGGCTTGAAA